TATATGTAGGCCTAACAATAATAATCTAAAATTATAACTTCTTAACTATACGTAGGCCTAACAATCTAAAATTATAATTTATTAATTATACGTAGGCCTAACAATAATAATCTAAAATTATAACTTCTTAACTATACGTAGGCCTAACAATCAAAAATTATAATTTATTAATTATACGTAGGCCTTACAATAATAATCTAAAATTATAACTTCTTAACTATACGTAGGCCTAACAATCTAAAATTATAATTTATTAATTAACACGTAGGCCTAACAATAATAATCTAAAATTATAACTTCTTAACTATATGTAGGCCTAACAATAATAATCTAAAATTATAACTTCTTAACTATACGTAGGCCTAACAATAATAATCTAAAATTATAATTTCTTACGTGAAAATTATACGTGAAAACAAATAACGACACCACCAATGGAGCCATAATATGTAGCGCCCCCAACTTGCGTGTTCGGCTTCTTCGACGATCATAAATTTCTTGATTGAATGCATCCTATCAAAGATATTAGAATACATCTTCTAATCGGTAAGTTAGGCGTTCATAATACATGATATGATTAATATCTAAATAGACAATAAAATTTGCGTAATGTTCTATATAGTAAATAATATTGTTCATCAAACTTGGGTACTGTTTGACCAACGATGGGTACGGTTTGATCAAAGATGGGTACGGGTTGACTAAAATTCTGGGTACGGGTTTGCCCAAAATTTGGGTACGGTTTGTGGGTACGGGTTGGCATGGGTACGGTTTGACTGTAATTCGGCCTACACAGCTTTCTTGTTAGGAGTAGGTAAGCCTCTCTTTAGGCAGACAAGCTTACTGTATAGCTAGCAGCATAAGCCCAGGCCACGGTTAGGCGAAATCACTAAAAAAATCAGCAGTTTTTGAGGCTTATCTTTTGGTATTTATTGGACCTATTTTTTTGGCTGATTTTGTGTTCGATGTTAGCAACAATGCAATATTATTTTTAATATTTAGATATTACATGTTGTCATGTTGTTGAATCTTTTTGAAAGCAACATCATAGTGGTCATTTACTCATCCTTGCAATCATGTTTACAAAAATCTCAACTGAGGCATAACATTTTTTTAAAAACCACATCATTCAGCTATCATACTGAAAACTAAATTTTATTTCTATTTTTCTTCCGCCCTCCTCTGACAATCTTTAAATTAAATAAGTTCGTGAAACAAGGTATGAAAAAAATCTCGCCTAACAGGTCAGTTTACTCAGTTACCCTTGTGCGTGGTGATCATGTTGTACAAAAACCACTCGCATTGAGGCGTCATCGGAATCTTTTTAACATCATTCGGTGATCGTACTGTGATATTAACAGGCCAGTTTACTTAGACTTAGATGATTGTGTTTAAAAAAGGTCATTTATTTCTGAGGTGTCGTGGAAATATTTTCTTAAAGCATCATCCCTTGGCGATCGTAGGCCTACTGTACTGTGATGTAAGGCCATTTTACTCAGTCTTGTGGTGATCATGTTTACAAAAATCCCTCTCATTTCTAAGGTGTCATTGGAATCTTTGTTTTTAAAGCAACATTATTCGGCGATGCTATTCCAGATTTTGTAATATACAGGTAGTTTCAAGGGTGTCAGGATAATGTTGATATCTATTTCTTGTACTGTGTTTTTTTTTAGAGTTGTATTTATGATAAATTGGCGCTCTATATTACTGCAACTAAAATAGTAATGACTCGAAATGAACCACAACCAAAATGACACTATCTGTGGAAATTATTATTAAAACTGAGCGTACATGTAAAGTGCTATAATAGCAGAGTTAAAGTTCAGGTGCAGCCCTTAGTGTTAAATTAAAAGTTTACTTTGGCCCTCCAACTTATTTGTATGCCTACTTTTGCAATGCACCTTCATGGTAAAGGTTAGCTAGGAGGAGTAGGTAGGTAAGCTGCTTTAATACCATAATTATTGTTATTAATTTTGTAAAGTATTTACTTATTCCATCTTGATTTCAACTGATCAAACAAAATTGTTGTTAAACCTGCTTTTTCTAAAATGTACTTTTTCAGAATGTGAGGTAACAGGGTCAGGTGAAGGGGAACGACCTGTGTTTATCAAACTGCGACATCCAAAAACTGGTAAGTGGGGTGGCAGACATTTTGTTTAAACCCAGAAAATTGGGTAAAAAGGGTGGGTGGAGGGCCATGAAATGAGCTTTAGACTGGGTGGAAAACTTCAAGGCTGGGTGGCCCCGCCCACAATAACTACATACCTGTGAGAATTTTGTTAGTGTTGTGGAAATGATTAATTTTGCCACACTCAAAACTCCACTACCCCTCATTTTCGGGACCTACCATCACTTTTGCTTGTGTTGTACCGGTTTGTTGATTATTTAATTGTGATTTGACATTAAATCTAATTAAAGTTGCTGTAACATGCAATGTTTTGTTTTTTTGTCTCCTTTTAGATAAGTGTGCATTGTTTCTGGTTGGCAATGACGGATACAAGATCTATGAATTGTTAGCATTGAAGGAGAAGTACAGATCATGGTTTATTGGAGACACAGTTCAAAGAGGTAATAATTAAAAGACCTGTCCAGACTATCAAATTTTATTCAACAAAAGCATGTGACATCATCCATGCCTAAATATGGTCATAGTGACATCACATCATCACCATACAGTATATGGGCATAACTTATCAAAGCAACCAATCATCATTTTAAATATATTTTTATAATCTTTTTTTTTTAAATTTATATTTCTTTATTTAATTTCTTGTAACTATCTGGAATGAAATTAAATTTTGATTCTATGTTAATGTATATTTTAGAACGCTGTTCTAGGACACATATAATCAGCGACTACTGGATTGTTTATTAATTGTTTATTCTACGAAAAGTATGGCTCTGAGTCAAATTAGCAATGTCGTTGAAAACCTCAATTGCATAGGACGCCCACTGAATGGACGCAAATTAGACGTTTTCAGGACACGTCCAAAAGGGCAGTTTTTGTGAGCATTACTGTATGGGTTTTGAAAAGTTTAGTGTTATTTTAAAATTTTGAAGTCATTGGAAAATGGATTTAGGTATAGAAAAGTTAATGGCAATATTTTACATTCAACTGATCATGACCTTTAAATTTTTTGGTTTTTTGAAATTTACATTGTGGGTCTGTCAATTTTGTGGAAAGGTTATATAAATGTCTTATTTATTTATAATTTTATTAATTTAGGCACATAGGCCACAGATTACCAAATGGCAGATATATCTCGGCAGGTGGAAAACGGCGCCGCGAGCACCCCTACTAGGGATGGATACGTGCGCCTAACAAAATGACATTATTATTATTATTATTATATCACAGTACTACTTAATAAGTGGCAATCACTTTCACAAGATAAACAACAATATGCTTTTACATAAACTATCCGTATAAGGCATAGTAGGGCTATAGGGAATAGAGTTGGTTTGGGTGTGAAGGGAAAAACTTGGTGTGTTAACAAGATTTAAAAGCCTATAGCCCTAGGGTTAGAAGGCAAGCATCATAATCACCAATTTAAAGCACCTCTCTACTCTTTGTGACCCAAGGTGTATGAACCTTGTATGATTTAATTTTTGGCATAATTTTTTTAATTAGCCATAGCATCAAATTACATTATATTGAATACAATAATTTATTTTCAATTATTGTTTAATTCAGATGGAAGTCTGCGAATAACAACATCAGTGGATCCATTGTTCTTGTTGCTTCCATACCTGATAAAGGCAGCAGAGGTAGGACAATTATTGCAAATAATGTCAACATTATCTTCATTAATATACCATCAATATTTCTCAATAAACATTTTAAACTTTACCATCATCTTTGTAATCGTCATTACATTAAATCGTAATCATCATCATCTGAAAATACATGCAAATGTTCATAAGACAGTATTATAACACACATAAACATTATAATCCAAAAACAGATGTTTATTGTAAAACATATTTTTTTTTTCAGAATGGCATGTACATGACTCTAGACCAATTAGTTGATGACAAACAGTTCCCACAATGCACTAGACTTTTAAAATGTTGTGAAAAGTGTGACATTAGCCAAGTATCAGACTGTAAAGGTAAGTCATCCTCCCCTACCCCTCATCCTTCATTTTTCTGTTTAAAAAATAAGCCCAGATTTCACTATGACCTATTTTATGGCAACTACAATAACATGCAGAACATGTCAATTATAATACAGTATACATTTTTAGTTGCAAACAGAGCATGAGGAATACTAAAATTAAACTTAAGATTCTCCCTTAACATAAGTAGAGCATTAACATCACTGTCTGTTCACAATTTGTATTTAATAAAAAAAATATACAAAACTTTTTGACCCTTACTTAAACTTATACACACTCCATCTTTAATTAGTTTATTTAGAATTAATTTTAGAACTTTATATACAATACTTATAATTTTATCCTATTTAGAATATTTTGTTTTCTGCCACCTTTAGGAAGTGTCGAGTTCACAGCCTACCGATACAGCGAAGACAAGACCATTACATGGCTGAAAGCGAAAGTTGAACAAGTAGCCACAAAGCTGGAGGAGAAGAGTATCCATGTGACAGGTGGTGCACAATCAGCGACCTTCGTTAGGAGTAGCAAGGGAAATGGAGCTTCAAAAGGTAGTGATTGAGTAGTACAATGCCATGGTTGTTAACACACAACACTGGGATATCCGTTGCTGTAAGCCAGCTGCTAGTGTTGCTATCCAATTCCACAAGTTCTTCTTCTTGTTGGTGGGGGGGGGGATTTGAAGACTTCGCAGTCGTTGATGGTGTGGTCAAGTTTTAGGTTGTCCGTAACTTCAAGCATCTGATGGCGAAGCACCTTTTCTTAGGAGAACTGATCCATGTCGCCACCAAACAGTCCTAAAGCTATTGAGGCGGACCCATGCTTGACGAGGGAGTTCCTAGCCTATAGGATTATTTAAAGGAGCTTGGATTGAATTGCCAGAGCCTTGAAGTGGATTTAGACCATTCTTTTCTCCATTGGTTGGTTGAAGAATGCATGATGTTAAGAATGCTTGGTCTTAATATGCACAATCAGCCTTTCTCAGTGGTGTATCTAGAAGTCTTGAAATGGAGGGGCCTGATGGGGGCGCGGAGGTGAGGTGGGGGGGCTCGATGATCAGTAGAAGGGCGCTAATTCGCAAAATAAGGTGATTTTTAACTACTTGACCGTGATTTTTTTTGGGGGGGGGGCGCGACTGGGGGTGGAGTAATTTTTGGGGAGGGGGGCGCCCCCCCGCTTTGGGAAGTGCGCTCCCCCCCCCCTCCCCCACCCGTAGATATGCCAATGGCCTTTCTCTTTTGAGGTCTTCCTGTAACATGGTCAGATCTATCTCCGTCTTGTTTTTAACCATTTTTATTTACTTCTTCTTGAGGACATTTCTTAGCCATTAATTTTATGTCTTGTATCCATTCATTGACAATCATATTATTGTTGTCTCCTATCTTTTTGAAAACAATAACCACCTTGAATTTATCCATACCTTGATTGTGTGCAATAACAGAGAGGGCGCTACACTAATTTGGTAACAACATAAAAAAAATATAAGTGCATGTGAGTATACTGCAAGTGCGATCAACCAGACTCTTGAAATTCATCGATCAAATGTTTTTCACACGCTACAGGGTGGGTTGTGAGGGGGGGGGGTGCCCTGTACAGTGTTTTATATTTTATACATATTAATTAAATGGTTGTATCTGTATAAAAACGCAATTCTCTCACTAGGCTTCATAAAAGAACTTAATAAATGTTCAAATTGTTCCAATTGTCTGACTTATTTATTTTGACTTAATTGACTGCCATTGTAATGAATAGTTTTATATAGAAATAAATAATTAATTGTTTGGTATTGTTATTAAACTGTTTCAGAAGACTACATGAGGTATGCTGTTGGGCTAGTCGGTGATTACCTTCAAGTACCATTAGCTCAGAAGCTAGCCAAGCAACTTGGGTATGTATTTTTTGTCAGTGACAAAACCATGAAAACTTTTTAAAACAGGTCTCCTTCTAATCAAAGACCATTCCAATTAAAGACCACTTTTCTGTGGTCCCAAATTAACAAATGTCTATTATCATTATTATTCTAATTTAAGACCAGAGCAGCAAAAGACCATGGAATCCCCAGTCCCAAAAGTGGTCTTTAATTGTGGCAAAGACAAGCCAAACCAGTCACTCGTCGCAAATCGTGTTTCAGAGAAAATGGCCAAAATATGCTGGAATGTCAAATTTTTAAAAATTTATTTTATTGCACTTAACTAACCTTTATATATCTATACATCATTCTATGCTGTTATTTTCCCCATTTTCAATGTTTAAACAATACTTTTTTAAGGATTTAAAGATAGTTTCTGCATGAGAAATGCCTGAAATCATAAACTTTGACGGTTAATTTCTCATATATTGTTCTTTAAACAGCTGTGTGGTTGAACGCTTGTAACTTCATAAAGATATGTCCGATTTGAATGATTTTTTTTATCATTTTATAGCTATTATTTTACTCTCTAACACTGTATTAATAACTCAAAATCGATTTTTGCGACGAGTGACTGGTTTGGCTTGTCCCCAAAACTTCTTTGAACTTTTACCTAAAAAATTAATTTACCTCTATAGAGATTATCAAATTTTCTTTCACAAAACACTGTTGTATATTATGTATATGTGGCAAAGACAAGCCAAACCAGTCACTTGTCGCAAATCGTGTTTCAGAGATAATGGCCAAAACATGCTTGAATGTCAAAATTGTTTAAATTTATTTTTATTGCACTAAACTAACCTTTTTATATGTATACATCATGCTATGCTGTTATTTTCCCCACTTTCAATGTTAAAGCAACACTTTTTAACGATTGGGTGATGGTGTCTGCCTGAGAAATGCCTGATGAAATCATAAACTTTGAAGGCTGATTTCTCAAGTATTGTTCTTTAAACAGCTCTATGTTTAAGTGCTTGTAACTTCATAAGGAAATGTCAGATTTAAATGATTCTTTTACCATTTTATAGCTCTCATTTTACTGTTTTTGTAATAACTAAAAGTCAATTTGTTTTTGCAACCAGTGCCTGGTTTGGCTTGTCTTTGCCACATATAATAGTCATGATGTGCCAATTTGGTGATAAGGTGATGTCAGTAGCCATATTTATGCATGTTTTAGTCAAATAAAATATTGAAGTCTGGACAGGACTTAGAGTTTAGACCACTGTGCACCATTAGATGTGTATAAGAGACAGGTTTTATATAGAAATAAATAATTAATTGTTTGGTATTGTTATTAAACTGTTTCAGAAGACTACATGAGGTATGCTGTTGGGCTAGTCGGTGATTACCTTCAAGTACCATTAGCTCAGAAGCTAGCCAAGCAACTTGGGTATGTATTTTTTGTCAGTGACAAAACCATGAAAATTTTTTGATACGGGTATCCTTCTAATTAAAGACCATTCCAATTTAAGACCACCTCCAATTAAAGGCCACTTTTCTGTGGACCATATTAACAAATGTCTTTTATCTTTATTATTCTAATTAGAGACCAGAGCAGCTAAAGACCATGCAAACCCCAGTCCCAAAAGTGGTCTTTAATTGGAGGCAGACCTGTATTCATATTCTCCACATTAAAAGCTTTAAAATAATGGGTCAAATAGACTTATTATTGCCAAAGCTTTGAGTAAAAGTATAACAGCTTCTCTCTGTATTAAAATGTAAATTACTTCCACATTCTTGTGCTAATTACTCAGTTTAACAAGTAGCGACAGTTTGCAGGTTTGGGCTGGTAAGCCTCATATAATAAATAGACAAGTCAATGCAGTCATTCAATACTAAAACTAATAATATTAATAATAATAATGATGGTAGACTTATATAGCACATCATGCTAAGACCACTAGGCACTTCACATTATTATTTCCACAGTCATTGGATTAAACATGGAGGGGGGGTTGGAGGTATTCCATAACGTTGCAGCAGCTAATCAGCGTATTTGGCATTCTAACCCAGGTACCCCACTTATACTCCTAGGTGGAGAGAAGCAATTAATGCAGATATAGTTCCTTGCTCAAGGACACAAGTGAAATGCATAGCAAGGGAGGGATTGAATCCCTGACCTCGAGATTGGAAAATCATTCCCCCACTGTACCAAACCACTTTTACAACACACTTGTGATCTACATTCTTGAGATCCTTTCATAAGAATATTTTCTTACCGATGCACTGTAGCTCCCTCGTGGGCTAGTTTCATGTATTTCATTAACACAATGCTACATTTGTGAGGTACTGTAACTACCAATGCCTGTTTCATCAATAAATGCTTGACAATTTTGACAGTTTGTGGGTTAGGAGGAGCTGAGATTCATTTTTAGTTTATTTGACCAAAGCAGATGAAATAATTCATAAGAGTCTTGTCAGTAGTGAGATTTTGTAATATGAGTTTCACAAGATAGCTAGCGACAGCAAAGTTACCATTGGGTGATATTGCCCAATCATTTGTATGCGAGAAGCCTAGCAGAGGTGCATTGAAATTATATAAAAAAAATAACTAAAAATGTTACAGGCATTAACTAGTGGTCACTCCATTGAATGCATACCTCAACCTGACTACTGAATAATATAAAAAAAAAAAAAACAACCAAAACTTCTTTGAACTTTTACCTAAAAAATTAATTTACCTCTATAGAGATTATCAAATTTTCTTTCACAAAACACTGTTGTATATTATGTATATGTGGCAAAGACAAGCCAAACCAGTCACTTGTCGCAAATCGTGTTTCAGAGATAATGGCCAAAACATGCTTGAATGTCAAAATTGTTGAAATCTATTTTATTGCACTAAACTAACCTTTTTATATGTATACATCATGCTATGCTGTTATTTTCCCCACTTTCAATGTTAAAGCAACACTTTTTAACGATTTTCAACGGTGTCTGCCTGAGAAATGCCTGATGAAATCATAAACTTTGAAGACTGATTTCTCAAGTATTGTTCTTTAAACAGCTCTATGTTTAATTGCTTGTAACTTCATAAGGAAATGTCGGATTTAAATGATTATTTTACCATTTTATAGCTCTCATTTTACTGTTTTTGTAATAACTAAAAGTCAATTTGTTTTTGTAACCAGTGACTGGTTTGGCTTGTCTTTGGTGATAAGGTGATGTCAGTAGCCATATTTATGCATGTTTTAGTCAAATAAAATATTGAAGTCTGGACAAGACTTAGAGTTTAGACCACTGTGCACCATTTCACTTAAGTTTATCCATTAATAGTTTCTGCATAGTCCTCGTTACTTTTTACCATTAATAATTTTTACCCCACAATTTAATCGCCTCTTTCTTTGATGAGTATGTACAGTACCACTCCACTAAATTTTATAATGATCCATTCCATTAGTTTTTCCATATACTGCCACCAACAGCAGTGAATGCATAAGCTCCTTAGCAGTGGTAATAAAGATAAGTAAAAAATTCATTATTGTTAGTATACAATACAGCCTACATGAAATTTGTTCTTTGGACCCTTAAGGATATTAAAACATAAACATAATTTTACATTTTACGTAGGCATGACGTACTACTTTTATTATTATATATTATTTTTAATTTTTTGGTAAGACTGTGACATGCAGGTAGTTTAAAATCACCTCATATGGCTTTTTTTTTCTCAAGCTATCGCCAAAGATAACCTGTGTGGCCTCAGTTAATCATTGCACCCTCATATATCCAATCCCAATTTCAATAATAATGTAAATGTCAAGGTAACAATATATATCGTCATGGTAGTTGTAATGACATGTCAATTCAGAAAGCTGAAAATTCAATAAGATAACTATTTGAAAATAATTAGCTCGATTACTGCTGCCGGCAAAAAACTGCAATGTGACCACCATCAAGATGTGACAGTAATTGTTACATAATGTTGGCAATTAGGTCTAAAATTGTGAATTGGTCAAGGGAAAAAGTACCATATTAGAAAACTCATTTGGTCTGGCTGATCACTGGTCACTTTAAAGGCCTATGTCACAAATATAGGAGTTGTATGCATCCATTAAAGATATGTATTGCCACCTCAAAAAAGAAAAAAAAAAAAATAATAATCAAAAAAAAAAAAAAAACAACCCCTCAAAAAATTCAAATAATAATTTATAAGTATCAATTGTTAAAAAGTTGCTTAGACACATAAAATATACAGGTTGTAATTGTATACTGGTGAATATTATTTAAATTTTGCTGGTATAATATGCAAACCTCATAGGTGGGTTGATTGACTGAAATCAAAATTTAATTATAATTTTCTGGTTGAAAACTATATGTAGATCTACAACATTATTTTTCCAAAGGTCATGGTCCTTATCTATATTCTATCTCTGTTAAATCTTCTAAAGACTGTGGCTTAAGATTCTTAGTTGGCTTTCATTCAGTAGTCTATATGTAACAGACTAATTAGATGCTTGCCAAGTCTACCAAGTTTGGATGTCATTGAATGTACAGCATATGCTAGGGCAAATATAAATACAATATATACGATATACAAAATTAATACAATATACAATAAACAATTCATAATTTTATTTGAAGTAACAATATAATTGACAAAATTATTATTTGTTTTTTGTTTTTTTTTTGGTTGACTATACAGCATATGCTAGGGAAAATATAAATACAATATATACGATATACAAATATTATACAATATATAAAATAAACAATACAAAATTTTATTTGAAGTAACAATATAAATGACAAAATAATAATTTTTTTTTTTTTCGGTTGCCATTTGAAATTTCTGCGTAAAGCGCATATATGCAATGTGCAATATGTGCTATATAAATATAACATTATTATTATTATTATTATTATTATTATTATTTAAAAAATGTTCTTCTATTTTGAATGGAAGCATAATATACTTATATTTTAAGAGAGAGAACAATTGAAAAAGTTCCATGAATGAAGAATTAACACCTTCTCCC